ACACACCGGTTCACGCTGGGGAGCGACGGCAAGCTTGTATGCGGGCAGGGGGAGGATTCAGGGTCCGGGAGGGCCAGCCCAACCCCCGTGCGGGCCCGCCGTGCCACGCGGCTGGTGGTCCTGCAGGCGGCTTGGGAATTGTGGCGACGCTCCTGCTGGGCAGGACAGTCCTAGCAAACGCTCTTGGTGCACCGTGTCCACAGCAGGGTCCAAAAACAGCCGGCGGGGAAGGAGGCCGCAGCCACACGCTGCAAGGAGAGGCGGGGGCCGCTTCGGGGAGCCCACCCCCCAACCCCCCCACCTCGCCCTGCCCTGCCCGCTTGCTGACGGCCGGGCCGAAGGGCTGCACTGCAGGCAGGAAGCGCCTCAGACTGGAATGTGCTGCCGCACCCGTATTCATGGCCACGCCGGCTGGGGATTCTGGGAGTGGTAGTCCATCGGCTTGGGGAAGGGGACACACAGTCCAGAGTTTTATGAACCTCCCCGCTTTTTGCAGGGTAGCCCTGGCTCCCCTGTCCCGGCCCCTCGACACGCACCGGGGCACGTTCTCCCAAAGAGCTCGCCCCCTCGCCCCTTCGGAGCTGCCGTGGGTTTTCCAGAAAGCATTCCAGGAGCTCCCCAAATCGCACTCCCTTCCACATTTGAAATAGATCCGCCCGCCCGGTTCCTATCGAATTCCCCAAGTCGTCCCGAACCTTGAATAATTCCAGGTAGCCACCCCCCACATACCCCCCCGCCTTTTTAATCAATAGCTGACAGATTGCTTCAGGGACCAACAAGGCAATTTTTAAACATTCATAAGCCCTCACGGTGTCGTTAATTGCACTGAATGTTAAGAGCGAAAGGGAGGCCTGAGTAACGCGGATCAAACGGGATTACGGTTTTGTAAACGAGAAATTAATTTATTGTTAATGAATCACCTCGGAACGGCGGGGCTGGTTCCCAAGCCCCCTCCTGAGGAAGCGAGGGGCAACGGGGCTACCTGCCCCCCGGAAGGAAAAAAAGGAAGGAGAGGCACCGGCTGCCCCCCCCCGAGAACACAGCAGGGCCAGGACGGATGCTGGGGTGGGAATTCAGCGCCCGGGGGCTACATGGGGGCCTGTGCAGGGCTGGTCCACCTTCGCCAGCTCGAGCCGCCTGGCACCTGCGTCGCGGCGCCTCCACCTGCCCATGAGCCCCCCTGTGCTCTGTGCACCCCCCCCGAGCTGGCCGCACGCTGGACTACAGCCCCCATCACCTGCAGCTTGCGGGCCGACTGCAGCCCTACCCTAGCCCAACCCCTCCGCGCCCCCCGGGCTGCAGGAAGCTTCTCACACGCCTCTGCCTGGGGCTGCACGCTGCTGGGCGAGCAGGTGGGGGGGAGAAGTGGGGGGGGGGCGTGCTGGGGATGGAGGAGGCCCCAGAGAAGAGCAGAGCAGAGCGCCAGGGGAAACAGTGGCAGGGCCCCGGCGAGGTGAACAGAGCCCCCGAAGGCGCAGGACGGTCCTGGCCTGGCAGCCCCCTCCGCGCACAGCCGGGCCAAGCAGCCCGCAGCCGCAGAGATGTGCCGCTTGCTCGCTCGCGGACTCTACTGCCTCGGGGTGGCCACCCGGCAGGGTCCCCGGCGTCCCCCGAGGCGGCTCATGCAGGGGAGGAGGCAGTGGCCCGAGGCGGCACCGGAGAGGCTTCGGGACTGGGGAGCCACCGAGCACAGGGCCCCGTCCGCCTCCCGGAATTGGGCGCTGGGAAAGGGGAGAACGTGCAGGAATTTGCTCCGCCGCCGTGCTGGGAGAAGCGGGCTCTCCAGGAATCGCCCTCCTGCTTCTGGAGGTGGAGGAGGTTGGGGGGGCGCCTCTGGCAGCCCCAGGTGCTCAGGTAAAGCGAGCCCAAAGCCTCGGAGGGCGATTCTTGTTCTGCCTGGCACTGTTTGCTCCCTTGAAGGTTGAAGGATTGTTGACAGTGGAATCGATGATGAGGGCGAAGGTGGGGGGGGCTGGGGGCTGCCGGCAGCGCTGCCTCCCTCCGCCTCTGCCTCTCCCCCTCTCTCTCTGCACTGACAGCCCGAGCGGCTGCAGATCTGCATGAAATTTCAAAATCCCCCAGACAGAATGTTCTTTCTTCCCAAGATTTTCTGCCTCCCCCCAACCCAACCATATCTGAGTGACCTAGTTTTGACAGTTGTGCCAAAATATCTAATTCCGCAGCAGGCACTTCTCCCTCGCTGCCCCCCCCCCGCCCCACTGCTACCGCCAAGCTCGGGAAAGGCCGGCTGGCCGTCCACATCTGTCCCAATTATTTCCTTGGGCCACAAAAGGGACTTCGTTCTGCAGGGCTGGAAATCATTAACACAAACGGCCCTCGCCACGGATTAAAATAAATAAATGAGTGAGCCGGGAGGCTGGGGGTGCAGGCGAGGGAGAGAGACGAGGCGTCGGCTGGAGCGTTTGACGTTTCTGGAGCAATGCGGGGGGAATTTGAGGGGCTGCGGCCCGAGGAAGCAACCGGGCTGGCGTCCGATGGACGCCGCTTGCCGGAGCCACGGGACGTGGCAGCCTTTGGCCCCTGTGCCCAGGGCTGGGGAGGCTCCAGGGGTCCGGGCGGGCATTTGTTGTTTACCTGGAGCGCAGAGCCTGGACGCTCCGAAGCTGAAAACGCCGGATCCGGTGGCACAGTGGACCAGTTCTCCCGCCTTGCAGGTTTTAATTAATGCCATCTCCTGCCCCCTTCCCTGCTTTTCCAGCCACAGCAGGCAGCAAATGCAGCCCGTTATGGGCTGGGTGGACGGGCTACGAAGACGCACCGCCTTGCCAGCAACCGGTTCCTGGTGCCGAGGGAAGCTGCCAGAACCGGCCCGCCTGGAACAGAACGGCCGGCGCTCCTGGGCCTGGACAGAGCTCAAGCTCGTCCTCCCCGTCCTCCAAAGTTCTGCTCGTTTCGGCAGCTGAATGGAGGCCGAATGGTTTCTGCTGCTCCACTTCAATGGCTGGAACGACTGAAAATCTGGGAGCACGAGATCTATCGCTCGATCCAGATCCAGCACCGGCCTGCCGCCACCCTAGCCTATTCTCTGCATCGAGGCTCAGGAAAGGACTGCAAAAACAGCGGCGCCTCTGAGCATGCCAAAAGTGCAGCTGGAGAGGGCACCGTTTTCCAGTTCCCAGATTAATTCATGCGGAAGACGACACGCAGACCGCCTTGGTGACGCGCTGCTCAAAAGCGCACGACGACTGCAGCCAGGCTGCGTGCGCGAACGCTGAGCTCTACCTGCGCACTCAGAAGAGCCACCCGTGCGTACGCGGCTTGGCCAACGGCACCCCCGCAGCCCGGAAGCACCGCAACGCGCCGACACAGCAATTCCAATCGCACTTAACCGCACGGCTCCCCCATCATGGCACCGAGGGCAGGAAACGCTGCCGGGTCCTCGCTCAGCGACTTCCCCCGGAAAGACGCCAAAGGTGAGCGCTGCAGGTGAGCCCACGTGCGAAGGCCACGCCTGCCTGCGCCGCTGCAAACCTGGATTCCTGGGCTCCATGCCCAGATGAGAGGTTTGGAGGACCGCCACTTCATGCGCGGAAAGGGGGGGTGGAAGAAAAGCCCCAGAAAGTTAATCAGAAAAGCACCCCCACGCCCCTGCAGCAACCGCCGGTCTCCTAGCTCCAGCCCTCCCCGCTTCTGCCCCCTCTACCCAGCACCGCTGCCTCTCTTTTGGCCATGCCCTTTCCTGAGAGAAACTGGCAGTGCCTCTGAGCATGCACGGACAGCACCTTCCCTTACACCAAGTCCAACTGAACTTTGCCTTAAGGCGCCAAGTCCCCCTGCCAGGTCTCTTATCTTTTCAAAAAACAACAGATGCTCTTTCTTCCGGAAGGAAGTCCTCTGGCATGTTTGAAGCTGGGGGCAATGCACCCTTTCCACAGATAAATCTTACAATATGGGGGAGAAACTAGTCCACATTGAGGGTCCAAGCCTGTCAAAAGTCCAAACTCCATTTCCAAGTCATGCCACCCCAGGCTAGGTACCAGAATCCATTTTTGTCAATAACCTAAGCTTGTGTTCACTTTGGAAGGGACACTTTCGGGCAAACAAGCAATTCTGAAAATGTGGCACTCTCTCCCGATGCACATTCCCTCTTTAGCCTATGGGGCAAAATGCATATTCTGAACTGGGAGTGGGTTTTCAAGAAAAATATTCATTTTCTCCTATGTTTCTACAACTAAGCTTTGCTCACAATTTTGGAAGAGAAACCACTGTTCTACAAATCTGCAGAATCCCAACAACACTGGAAAAGTTGGACTGCTGCGGCTTCCAAAGTCATCTAAAATCCATATAGGATTGTCTGCCTTCCCTCCCTAACCTTGAGTTCCTTTTTTTTTTTTTTGGCAGAAGGGCCAGATATTAAATAAAGAAATAAAGAAATTTCCACTGCATGTAGCACTTGAACTTGAAGAGAAACAGGCTTGGGGGGGAGCACATGGCCCCATCTCCCTTCGCCAGGACAGAGGCACCCAGAAGTGCCGGAGGAGAGAGGGGCACCCGACACAGGGCAGCCGCCAGCCTGGGAGGAACGAACCCCTGGCACAGGAACACAGTGCCGGAGGGGGCGCCGTGGCACCTCCTCGCAGGCAGCCCGTGCACAGCAGCGCGATTGGCATCTGCCCTTCCTCCCGAATCGAACGCACGGGCAGGTCAACCCGGAGAGGCGGGAGGCCGAGAACCCCCTTCGCTGGCACAAGATGCATCTCTCCCTCCAGAAAGCGCATCTTGCTTCCGCGCCGTCCTCCCAGCTGTTTGGGATGTCTGCAAAGATGTTTTTTATTTCTCCGTTTCCGGTTGTGTAATCATCAAACAGAGGAAATGTTTGACGTGCTGGATAAGCAGACCCCAAAACGAGCAGCGGGGCAGTGACGCACAGCGTGCGGGGCGGGAGGCGGCGGCGAGGGGGCCTGGCCCGGCCCGGCCCGGCCCAGCCCCGGGGGCGCGACCGCTGCTCCCGAGGGATGCGGGGCTGCCGATCTACTCACCGTGGCAGGCCGTGGGTCCTCGCTGCGCCAGAAGGTGGGGTGCGGAGAGCAGGGGGAGCGACGGCCGGAGTGCCTTCCACCCCACCCCACCCCCAAAGCAGGAAGTGCCGGCCGCTAGTCCTTGGAGCGCCTTGTATGGTGCGAGCACTCAGGCTCCGTACGCCAGTTCCTGGCCCCGAGCCCAGCTCACGCCGGCCTCAGGAAGCTGTTCCAGCATGCCGTCCGTCCGTCCGCCCGCGGGAAAAACGCCCTGCCCGGCTCAGACAAAGCCCGTCCCCTGGAGCCGCGGCAGGGGCGGCTGGCGAGCGCCTGCCCCACGGGGGTGGCGGGGCCATGGGGGGGTGCCCGGAACAGCCTCGTCTCCACGGCCGGCTGCTGCAAAGGCGTTGCGCTCAGGCGGGCCGGTCCTCTTGGCAGCCGGCCCGATGGCGTCTTCCGCCCAGCCCTCAGCGAGGCCCCGGAGAGCACGTCTGGAGCGGCTTCCAGCCCTCGGCCAAGAGAGTCCGGCACTGCTGTGGCGGATGATCCAGGCGCTGCTGGCGGAGGGGCCCCGCTCCACCGGAGACCCCAAGGGCCCCGCACGTGTGTGGAGACGGAGCCCATCGTCCCAGGACGGCCCCCCGGCCAAGCGCGCCACCTCTCCGAGGGCACAGCTGGTTGAGCGGAAGGGCGAACAGCGCGCTGACCCTGCAGCGACGCTTCTTCCTCCGACCCTCCCTTTCGGAGAGGACGGGGCAAGACTGCGCCCCCCCCCCGGCCCCGGCAATGCCCCCTGCACTGGCTCACAGTCTACATGACGCGCCAAGCTCCCCCCGCCCCAGCCCAGACACAAGCACCACTCCCGACGGAGTGGGGCAGCGCATCCCCTCTTCTCCTGAGCCGGGGGTGCGGAGCCCGCACAGGCCAGTGGCAAGGCGCCGGATCGCTGCGTGGGCCTGCCACGGAGCGACACGGGCCAGGGCTCGCCACTGGCGGCTGGCCACACACAGGCCTCCCAGGATCAGGACTTTTTTAAAAAAAGGTCCTTCGCCCACTTTTCTGCGGCTCCTCCCCAGCGCCTGGAGGGGCCCATACACACATTTTATTTTTATTTATTTATTTTTGGATTTACATCCTGCCTTTTTCCGACAAAGGGCTCAAGGCAGCTTCCATCATTCTCCTCCTCCATCTTATCCCCACAACAACAACCCTGTGAGGTAGGCTGGGCTGAGAGTCTGTGACTGGCCCAAAGTCACCCAGTTGGCTCCATGGCCGAGGGGGGACTCGAACCCAGATCGCCCGAGTCCCAGTCCCGCGCTCTTAACCACTACGCCACACTGGCATCCGTGTCCATGCAACCCACCAACCGAACTTTTATGCAATGTGACCTATTGCTTTCCTTTCCTTTGCCTTTTAATTTTTTTCTGCATTGCTTTGGGTTTTGTGGATACACACAATGCAAAGTTGCTTTTCAAAAAGCTGCAAAATTTCTGCCTCGTGCAACATACAACGAAGGGACGATCTGAAATGAGGGGCATTGAGGCACAAGGTGTTTGTGATTTTAATGAGGCTCAGGGACTTGTCCTTTCAAAAACTGTGTTGTGTGCATCTGCGTGTGTGCATACACACGTCTGCAAATGAATGCTGTGCTAAAACTGCTTATCTTAAATGTATGTGGGTGCATGCATGTTGTCTGCTTATATGTTATGTGTACATGGCTCTGACATTATGTACAAAATTGGTTTTTTAAATATTTTTCACTTTTGTAAACTGCCCAGAAAGCATTGGCTATTGGTCGTACAGGAATGCCCGAAGCTAGGAAGGAGGAGCATTTTGTGCTGGAAGCGGGGAAGGCTGGCTCCCGAGAGCAGGCGCACAGGCTGGCAGCGGCGGCAGAATAGATGAGAATTTATGAGTTCTGCTAGAAGAAGCATGAAAAGGGCCCTGTGACAAATTAATCACCAACTGCCATGCTGACGGGGCGCCCCCCATGCCCGCTCCGGCAGGCCGTGCCCGCTTGCTCACCGCGGGCTGAGGCCCGATAACGGGGAACCTTTCCCACGGCATAATTTGTGTCGCACCGGCTGTTATCTGACAGCGCCCAATAAAACCGTCCGGGCGCTCGCCTCCCTTCTGCCGGGGTCGCTGCAGCTGCCACCGGAATCTCGCCACCTGCGTCCGCAGGTGTCCGCAGCCCCCCTGCTGATGCTCAGGTGGGCCGCGGAGTTGGCTGGGGGCACGGAAGGGAAAGGCTGAAGGGGTGGGGCAGGCGTCCCGGAGAAAATGATGCCCTCTGCACACACCTGAAGGCGTCCCGGAGAAAATGGCAGACGTGGGCCCCACGGCTGATTCGGCAAGAGCCAAAGGCGCACCCTCCAGGAGGGGGGGTCCTGGCTGGGCACCAGGAGGAACGCTGGATGGCCGGGACCAAGGGCCGCGGCCTCTCCCGGGGATGCTGGACCTCCCGCACTGTGCGGCGGCTGGTCCAGGACACTTCCAAGCCCCCTCCAGCCCTGGGATGCTCTGGACTAAGGCGGCTTTCCGGGACCAGCACCAGTCCCGACACGGCCCTTGCGACTCATCCGTTTACGGAATCTGGGCTGCTGAAGGGGAAAGATCTGCGGCCGGCCCGGCCCCCTGTTGGGAGACAGGTGGGGAGGGGGGAGGGCGGCTGGAGGGTCGGCCCCCCCCCAGGCACGGCCAGCGGCCCCCAGGCAAGGGCAACCCCGCCCAAGGGGCAGAAGCCCTCCAAGAGACTCATTGGCAGGTTTGTCGCTGTCGCGCCAGTCCCAGCGGCACGATGATGCAACCAGCTTTTGAAAGGCAACTGAGCTGCTGAAGCAATTTGCTTTATTACCTTGGCGCCTGCTCTGTGGCATAAATCTGCTGGCAGCAGCCGGCGTTCCTGGGTCCTGCTGCCCCCCCCCCCCCCCCCCCAACAACCCCAGCAAAGGACATCTTAGTCTCTCTCTCACCTGCCCCAAGCTACAGGCCCTCTTGAAAAGCCAGACTGGAGGCAGAGCACAGGCAAAGCTGCCGGGCGGAAATTAGGGTGGCGGGTCGATCAAGCTTCTAGTCCTTATTGTGGCAAAGACGCATGACTGGGCATGTCAGTCCTCCTCCAAGGGGTGCAAGGCAAGCCACAAGGTCTCGCCCCACCTGAACCCAAGTAGCCTTCGCCCCACAACAATCCCGTGAGGCAAGAGGCTGACAGACGGGAGAGTTTGAACCCTGCCGCTGCTGCAATGCTCGAGACACACTACCATCTGTCCGGGCTTAAAAATGGAATAGCAAAAACCAGACCGTCAGATTCCCAGGTGTGCGGGTGCAGCGGCTCCGTGTCCTGCGACCACGAGGACAATCAAAATACCATGTACGATTTGAAAGAGCCTCGCAAATTCGGTTTGCTTAAGGAAGTTGCGACACCCAACTTTCCTAGCTGAGCTGCTCGGCTACAGAGTTTTTCTTTATTTCTTTACCCACAGGGAGGCTGGACGATGCTGTTTATCTCTGGGCTGCTCCATAACAGTAACCGGTCACATTTCATATGATCGTCAAATGGTAGAGCCGGGAGGGGCCGGCGGGCCGGAGGGCCCAGCCCCCTGCTCTGTGCAGGGCTCGCCAAGAGACGCGCCGGCAGATGGCTGCATCTGGCGGCCCCCAGCCTGGGACAGCCCCCCACCCGAGGCCTCCGGCTCCTTTGTCCGCTGCGCCCTCAGCCGGGACGTTCTCCTCCACGTCTGGCCAGAAGGGGCTCGCTGCCTGGAGGGGGCTTGTCGTGAGCGGAGCCGGCTGGTGCCAGAGGTCAGACTAGATGGCCCGGGAGCCCCCTTCTGACCCGCTCTGCTTCTCTGTCTCTATGTTTCCACGTCCTGCATCTGGGAGGGTGGAGAGCAGCTCCTCTTCGCGGCAGCCCTTCCCGCCCCTGCGGAGCGCCGCCCCAGCTGCCCCGGCCATCCCTTCTCCAGGCGGAGCGGGCCCGGGTCCCGCTCGCCCAGCTGAGCTGCTGCCTCCCTTCCCTGAGCCCTTCCCAGCCTCTCTGCATCTCTCGGAAACTGCCGGGCCGGTGAGGGATACTTAGCTCAAAATTGTGATATTGTGAACGGAAAGGATCTGGGAACTGTCGGAAAGCCCCAGCTGAATCTGAGCCAACAAGGCACCGTGGCTGCAAAGAGGGAACTGCTCTTTGGGGCTGCAGGACTGGAAGGAAGCCCTAAAAGGACCAGACCCCTTTCCTCAGCCCCCTTTCCTCTTTCCCAGGGGTCTGAAGCCACGAGCCCCGGCCTCAGAAGCAGCGCCTTCCGAGGAGGTTCCGTGTGATGCGTTTTTACCCCGGTGGCCTAGCAGCTCATGAACACAGGATGGAGATATGCCTGAAACACACCCTATAGAGGAGCAATTGCTGTCTAATGCATTTGCTTTCACAAACGAGGGCGCCTCCTGCATTCTCCTCCTCCGTCCCTCGGGGCAGGCTCTGGGAGCAACCCACAGGCCTTGGGCTCTGCAAACCGGGCGCCTCCTTCACAGGGTCACTGTGAGGTTCGTGGCACCACTGGATGCCTTTGGAAAGCGAGCGGAGCATTGCGCGCATTACAGCATCACTGACGGGCTCAAAGACACCTCAGGGGACGCGGTGCGCAGAAAACCACGTCCAGTACATTTTGAAACCAGACACGGACACGCACAACGCAGAATTAATTCAAATATAACATTCACAGATTTGGACGGCAGCTTTCTCTGCGTTTGTGCTGCTATTTTAGACTTCCCACCCTCTGATTCTGCAGCTGTTTCCGTCATGAGTTCCACCCAGAAGAAAGCAAGGAATAGCAGAGCTGTCTCAACACATCGGCACCTCAGAAGGAGGGCGAGCACCCCTCCTTCGAAACCACGGCGGCCCCGATGCCCCGGCATTCCTAGCCGGCAGGCAACCTGGCCCAGCTCTCTCGCCAGAGGTGCGCTGCCGAACAGGGCTCATTTTTCGCTGGCTTGGAATATCTAGCCGGCAAAATGAGACAGCAGCACTAAACGGTGACAAGAAGATGCGTTTGGGGGGGGGGGGCAGCCACTTTGCCTCTGCTGCGCCAGCCAGAAATGTCAAGATGAC